TTCCTTAAGGATTCATCCTGTTCCACATCCTTTAAAATATCCCCAAAATCCTGCCAATAGAGTCTAGTCACTACCCTTAATTCCTTTTCCCCTTCCCCCTGATCCTCCATTCTTCTGGACAATGCATCCACTGCCCTGTTGGTGTTCCTGCCTTGTAGACTATCTCAAAGTCATACCCAAGCAGTTTGGCAAGCCAATTCTGCTGATTCTAGGTTGTAATCCGTTGCTCCAGTAAGTACCGCAAGCTTCTCTGGTCTGTGTGAACTACAAACCGTTGTCCCAGCAGGTATGGTCGCCAATGTTGTATGGCCATCACCAAGGCCATGAGTTCTTTCTCATAGATTGACTTGTTCAATGACCCCTACGATAAGGCCTTACTGAAATAGGCTATGGATCTTCGGCCTTGTGTCAACACTGCTCCAACTCCCCCTCCCAACGCATCACATTCTATTGTGAATGGCTGATCAAAATCTGGTAACACTAGCACAGGGGCTGAAGTAACTGCTTTCTTCAATCTAGACATAGCTTCTTCAGCCCGTTCAGTCCAACTATACTCTCCCTTTTTCAATAAGTCGGTCAAGGGCTTAGCAATTTTTCCATAGTCCTTGACAAAATGCCGGTAATACCCAGTCAGCCCAAGAAATCCCTTCAAGGCTTTCACACTCCTTGGTCTCTCCCAATCCAGCACTTCATTTACTTTTCCTGGATCCATCTCTACCCCTTTTTTAGAAATCAAGTGTCCGAGATACCCTATCTGAACACGTCCAAATTCGCACTTCTTCCTGTTAGCAACCCATTGATTTTCCTCCAGCCTCCTCAACTCCATCCCCACATGCCTCATGTTCTGCCCATGATTGGCTGTAAATCAATATATCGTCAAAGAAAACTAGCACGAATTTCCTTAGGTAGGGCTGTAGTAAATTGTTCATCGTGCTTTGAAAGGTTGCAGGGGCATTGGTTAAGCCAAATGGCATTACCAAGAATTCATAATGCCCCAAATGAGTGTGAAACGCTGTCTTCTGAATGTCTTGCCTTAAGATAAACTTTGGAGAAATATTTTTCTCCTCTCAACTCATCCAACAGCTCCTCTATCACTGGAATTGGGAACTTATCCGGAACTGTGGCATGGTTTAGGGCCCTATAATCCACACAGAATCTCCAAGAACCATCCTTTTTCACCAATATAACAAGGCTGGAATATGGGCTATTGCTTGGCCGTATCACCCTTGTTTGCAGCATCCCCGCCATTTGCTTCTCTATTTCATTCTTCAGCACGTGTGGGTACCTGTAGGGCCTCACGTTTATTTGGTCAACTCCCTCCTTCATGGGTATTTGATGCACCATAAGTCTCTCTGGGGCAACCTGCTGGATTCCTGGAACACCCCTGCATACTAGTCCAGTACCTCCTCTATTTCTTTTCTCTGGATCTCTGTTATTCCTGGGTAAGGTGCCCCTTCTCCACCCCTCTCCATCTCTCCCAATTCCCACACTAGCATCCAAACCTCCGCCTCCTTTATTTTCAACAATGTTTCTGGAGCTACCAAGCTTCTGGTTAGCGTAGGATCCCCCCTTATGATTACCTTCCTACCCTCCTGGCTGAAAGTCATGGTCAGCTTGCTCCAATCCAGAGTTACCTCTCCAAAGTAGCCAACCATTCCACCCCCATAATCACATCCACTCCTCCTAATTCAAATAGGTGGAATCTAGTTGTCACCTCTACTTCCCCTATACCAATCCGCACCCCTTTGCAGCATCCTCAGGTTTCTTTTTCTTGCCCATCGCCTAGGCTAACCATGTAAGGCCCAGTCTCTGTTGTGTCTAATCCCAGTCCTCCCACAAGCTCTCTACTAATGAAATTATGGCTCGCGCCACTGTCAATCTGGACTAAAACTCTTCTCCCTCTGATTTCTCCTTGCAACTTCATCGTCTTAGCCTGTGTCAGACCTCCTGCAGAGCACGCCGAGAGCTCCATCTGCATCTGAGTTAACTCTGACTCTGTTTCGGTCTCAGTTCCCTCTTCGTCCTCTGCCAAAATCAACATCCTCAAACCCCTTTCTGGGCATCGATGCCCAGGCCCGAAAGCCCCTCCACATCTGAAACATTTGCCTTCTTCCCTACGTTTCACATATTCGGCGTAAGGCAAGTTTCGGAAATTTCTTCCTTTGCTATCGATATTGGATGACGCCACCCCACTCGCCTGTGTCGATTCTCTACGCACCGACCCACTACTCTCCGCTGGCCCCATTCGGTTGTGGTTTTGACGTATGAGTTCCACCCGCGACACCGTCCCGATCGGCTTATTCCAGTTCGTCATGCTTCTTCCTGTTCCTCCTGACTTCGCACCCCTATGCAGTTCTTCCCCGTCGTCTGCGATATGCATTGCGACCATCAGTTCCTGAGGGTTAAGTGATCGCACCTGGTTACGTATCGTTTCTTGCAACCCAACCATCAAATATCCCAACAAAATTTCCTCCGGTAGCTTTGACGTTTGTCCTACCAAGATTTCGAATTCTTTGATGAACTCATCCACTGAATCGGTCTGCTTGATGGTGGCCAACCTTTCATAGACGGTTCCCCTGCTTCTTCCCCCAAACCGCGCTACCATCGCTTCCTTCAACCCTTCCCAAGATTGGTTTCTGGCTTTCTCCTTCCAGAACTGGAACCAATATCCAGCACTGCCCTCCATGCTTATATACGCCAACCGTACCTTCTCTTCATCCTCCGTTACCCCTTGCAAGTCAAAAAATCTGTCCGCTCTATCAACAGCCCACTCCAGGATCCCAACTCCCTTCAAGCTGGGAGGAAAGTAGTATGGCCCCTTCAAGAACCAAACAATTCCCTATCACAAAGAGATGCGGCTCACTTCCATTATTTCCTTTTTGAATCGTTTTCTTACATCTTTATGTTGAGGGACTTGCTTAGGATGAATAACTACTTTATTTTCGTAAATATACTCTCACATCCTGTTCTTCAACTGGTAATACAAATTTTAGTAAATCTTGGCTTCATTTTACACAACGACTATTTGGAGCAAGTTGCATGAAGCATTGTATTTCCATTTCTTCCAGCTGTATATAATCTAGTTTTAATCTTTCCATTTATATCTCTGTTTTTGAATAGAATGTAATAATTCATTCTCAAGTATTGATGTTTGTATGGTGCAGTTTTTGTCAGTTTTGGATTCTGATGCAGCATTTAACAGTGAAATTATCCGGGAATGCTATGAAGCTTTTGCATTATACTGCTTTGAGAGATATTTGATAGCTTGCTTAGGTAAATTGATTCTATGACCATAAGATTCCATTAACTGTACCTGTTATTTTTGTGTTGATATATTTTCCAAAAGTGATAAATGATGAGATCTTTTACTGGAACTTTCTGCATCTCCTTCCCTCAATTTTCAAGCTTCTTCATTCAGAATTTGATACCTTAATGTTATAAATCATGACTTGAAAANAATTCTTTCTCCACACTCCTATCCCCCACTGCTTTCTTCAATTGTGATGCATGGAAAATAGGATGTATGCGAGCTGTTTCGGGTAGCTGAAGCCTGTAAGCCACCTGTCCTACCTTCTGCTCAACTAGGAAAGGCCCATAGTATCTCGCTGTCAATTTCAGATGCAGCCTCAATGGCATGGATGTTTGCCTATGCGGCCTGATTTTGAGATATACCCAGTCGCCCACCTCAATATTTGCTACCCTCCGCTTTTTATTAGCCTACTTTACCATCAACTCTTGGGCTCGCACTAAGTGGAACTTCAATTGCTTCAAAGCCTCATCTCGGGGTCTGCAACTCCTGTGCTACTGCCTCCATTGCTGTTTCGCCTAGAATAAACCTATGCAAAGATGGAGGTGATCTCCCATAGACTACCTCGAAAGGTGTACACTTCGCAGCTCCCTGAAAACTGGTATTGTACTAGTATTCCGCCCAAGGCAAAACAAAACTCCATCCCTTAGGTTGCTCCGAGCAAAAACATCGCAAATACCCCTCTAATACCCCGGTTCAGCACCTCCGTCTGGCCATCAGACTCCGGGTGGTAAGCTGTGCTCATCTGTAGCTGAGTCCCTTGCCTCTTAAACAACTCTTTCCAAAAATTACTCAAAAACAGGGGATCCCTGTCACTCACAATAGAAGCTAGTATACCATGCAACCTGACCACTTCTTTAATGAATACTTCAGCTATCGTGCAAGCTGAATAAGGGTTCTTCAAGGGTACGAAATGGCCATACTTACTAAGGCGATCCACCACCACAGCACTGCATCAAACCCATTCGATCGTGGCAGCTTGACTATGAAGTCCATGTTGACTTCTTCCCACACATTAGGAATAGGTAGAGGTTGCAACAGTCCTTGAGGGGAAGATGCAAGGTACTTGTGCTGTTGACACACCAAACAACCCGCCACATAGTCTGTAACAACCTTCTTCATTCCCACCCAATAAAGAGACTGAGCCACCCTTCTGTAGGTCCTGTACACTTCGGAATCCCCCCAGTTTGGGTTAGATGAAACTCGACTAGCAGTTTTGGAAACCAGGATGATTGAGTTGATATCACCAACCTACCCTTATAATGCAGCCGTTCATTCTCCATAGTGAAAGGTGGGTGTGCCTCTGGGTTCTTCTTAATATCCTCCACCACCTTCCTTAAGGATTCATCCTGTTCCACATCCTTTAAAATATCCCCAAAATCCTGCCAATAGAGTCTAGTCACTACCCTTAATTCCTTTTCCCCTTCCCCCTGATCCTCCATTCTTCTGGACAATGCATCCACTGCCCTGTTGGTGTTCCTGCCTTGTAGACTATCTCAAAGTCATACCCAAGCAGTTTGGCAAGCCAATTCTGCTGATTCTAGGTTGTAATCCGTTGCTCCAGTAAGTACCGCAAGCTTCTCTGGTCTGTGTGAACTACAAACCGTTGTCCCAGCAGGTATGGTCGCCAATGTTGTATGGCCATCACCAAGGCCATGAGTTCTTTCTCATAGATTGACTTGTTCAATGACCCCTACGATAAGGCCTTACTGAAATAGGCTATGGATCTTCGGCCTTGTGTCAACACTGCTCCAACTCCCCCTCCAAACGCATCACATTCTATTGTGAATGGCTGATCAAAATCTGGTAACACTAGCACAGGGGCTGAAGTAACTGCTTTCTTCAATCTAGACATAGCTTCTTCAGCCCGTTCAGTCCAACTATACTCTCCCTTTTTCAATAAGTCGGTCAAGGGCTTAGCAATTTTTCCATAGTCCTTGACAAAATGCCGGTAATACCCAGTCAGCCCAAGAAATCCCTTCAAGGCTTTCACACTCCTTGGTCTCTCCCAATCCAGCACTTCATTTACTTTTCCTGGATCCATCTCTACCCCTTTTTTAGAAATCAAGTGTCCGAGATACCCTATCTGAACACGTCCAAATTCGCACTTCTTCCTGTTAGCAACCCATTGATTTTCCTCCAGCCTCCTCAACTCCATCCCCACATGCCTCATGTTCTGCCCATGATTGGCTGTAAATCAATATATCGTCAAAGAAAACTAGCACGAATTTCCTTAGGTAGGGCTGTAGTAAATTGTTCATCGTGCTTTGAAAGGTTGCAGGGGCATTGGTTAAGCCAAATGGCATTACCAAGAATTCATAATGCCCCAAATGAGTGTGAAACGCTGTCTTCTGAATGTCTTGCCTTAAGATAAACTTTGGAGAAATATTTTTCTCCTCTCAACTCATCCAACAGCTCCTCTATCACTGGAATTGGGAACTTATCCGGAACTGTGGCATGGTTTAGGGCCCTATAATCCACACAGAATCTCCAAGAACCATCCTTTTTCACCAATATAACAAGGCTGGAATATGGGCTATTGCTTGGCCGTATCACCCTTGTTTGCAGCATCCCCGCCATTTGCTTCTCTATTTCATTCTTCAGCACGTGTGGGTACCTGTAGGGCCTCACGTTTATTTGGTCAACTCCCTCCTTCATGGGTATTTGATGCACCATAAGTCTCTCTGGGGCAACCTGCTGGATTCCTGGAACACCCCTGCATACTAGTCCAGTACCTCCTCTATTTCTTTTCTCTGGATCTCTGTTATTCCTGGGTAAGGTGCCCCTTCTCCACCCCTCTCCATCTCTCCCAATTCCCACACTAGCATCCAAACCTCCGCCTCCTTTATTTTCAACAATGTTTCTGGAGCTACCAAGCTTCTGGTTAGCGTAGGATCCCCCCTTATGATTACCTTCCTACCCTCCTGGCTGAAAGTCATGGTCAGCTTGCTCCAATCCAGAGTTACCTCTCCAAAGTAGCCAACCATTCCACCCCCATAATCACATCCACTCCTCCTAATTCAAATAGGTGGAATCTAGTTGTCACCTCTACTTCCCCTATACCAATCCGCACCCCTTTGCAGCATCCTCAGGTTTCTTTTTCTTGCCCATCGCCTAGGCTAACCATGTAAGGCCCAGTCTCTGTTGTGTCTAATCCCAGTCCTCCCACAAGCTCTCTACTAATGAAATTATGGCTCGCGCCACTGTCAATCTGGACTAAAACTCTTCTCCCTCTGATTTCTCCTTGCAACTTCATCGTCTTAGCCTGTGTCAGACCTCCTGCAGAGCACGCCGAGAGCTCCATCTGCATCTGAGTTAACTCTGACTCTGTTTCGGTCTCAGTTCCCTCTTCGTCCTCTGCCAAAATCAACATCCTCAAACCCCTTTCTGGGCATCGATGCCCAGGCCCGAAAGCCCCTCCACATCTGAAACATTTGCCTTCTTCCCTACGTTTCACATATTCGGCGTAAGGCAAGTTTCGGAAATTTCTTCCTTTGCTATCGATATTGGATGACGCCACCCCACTCGCCTGTGTCGATTCTCTACGCACCGACCCACTACTCTCCGCTGGCCCCATTCGGTTGTGGTTTTGACGTATGAGTTCCACCCGCGACACCGTCCCGATCGGCTTATTCCAGTTCGTCATGCTTCTTCCTGTTCCTCCTGACTTCGCACCCCTATGCAGTTCTTCCCCGTCGTCTGCGATATGCATTGCGACCATCAGTTCCTGAGGGTTAAGTGATCGCACCTGGTTACGTATCGTTTCTTGCAACCCAACCATCAAATATCCCAACAAAATTTCCTCCGGTAGCTTTGACGTTTGTCCTACCAAGATTTCGAATTCTTTGATGAACTCATCCACTGAATCGGTCTGCTTGATGGTGGCCAACCTTTCATAGACGGTTCCCCTGCTTCTTCCCCCAAACCGCGCTACCATCGCTTCCTTCAACCCTTCCCAAGATTGGTTTCTGGCTTTCTCCTTCCAGAACTGGAACCAATATCCAGCACTGCCCTCCATGCTTATATACGCCAACCGTACCTTCTCTTCATCCTCCGTTACCCCTTGCAAGTCAAAAAATCTGTCCGCTCTATCAACAGCCCACTCCAGGATCCCAACTCCCTTCAAGCTGGGAGGAAAGTAGTATGGCCCCTTCAAGAACCAAACAATTCCCTATCACAAAGAGATGCGGCTCACTTCCATTATTTCCTTTTTGAATCGTTTTCTTACATCTTTATGTTGAGGGACTTGCTTAGGATGAATAACTACTTTATTTTCGTAAATATACTCTCACATCCTGTTCTTCAACTGGTAATACAAATTTTAGTAAATCTTGGCTTCATTTTACACAACGACTATTTGGAGCAAGTTGCATGAAGCATTGTATTTCCATTTCTTCCAGCTGTATATAATCTAGTTTTAATCTTTCCATTTATATCTCTGTTTTTGAATAGAATGTAATAATTCATTCTCAAGTATTGATGTTTGTATGGTGCAGTTTTTGTCAGTTTTGGATTCTGATGCAGCATTTAACAGTGAAATTATCCGGGAATGCTATGAAGCTTTTGCATTATACTGCTTTGAGAGATATTTGATAGCTTGCTTAGGTAAATTGATTCTATGACCATAAGATTCCATTAACTGTACCTGTTATTTTTGTGTTGATATATTTTCCAAAAGTGATAAATGATGAGATCTTTTACTGGAACTTTCTGCATCTCCTTCCCTCAATTTTCAAGCTTCTTCATTCAGAATTTGATACCTTAATGTTATAAATCATGACTTGAAAAAGATGTGATACATCTCAAATTCTTTTGTTTGTTGAATTTTATTATGCTGTAATGCTCTTTAATACTATGTTTATATTATTTTTATAGGTGGTGAGGACAAAACTATTCAATTTATGGAAAGTATGAACCTAACAGACTCCAGCATTCCTCTGCTGAAAGAAGCATATGCATATGGAGTTGTAGAGCATCCATTTCCCTTAAATCTCTTCTTGAAGGATTGGAATCTAGGCTCCGAGTTCTATCAATCTGTGAAAATTGGCATTGTACAATATGTATGTGTGATTTTGTCAAATTGTGTAATATTAATGTCTTCCCCCAACCTCCCTCTAGTGGTTTCTGTGCGAAGTAAATATCTCTCGTCGCTCACTAAAATCTTCATTGCAGATGATATTGAAGATGATATGTGCAGTACTGGCAACAATTCTCCAATCTTTTGGGGTTTATGGAGAGGGGAAGTTTGAATGGAAATACGGGTAAGATTATAATGTCTCGTGTTTTGATCTTGATTATAGATACTGAAATCATTGTTCAAGATTTATTGAGAATCAATAATTAAAATGGTATAAAAATGTCTGTATGATCAAGTGGTTCGAAGTTTGGGTCTTCAGGCCCACAAGAACTATCAATATGCCTGAGGAAGATTACATGTACATGCTAAAATCGCTCACTGGCCTTCTCCAATTATTATTGTTACAGATAGAGATAGAGATGAAGAGAGAGGAGAGAGATATGAGAGAGGAAGAGAGGGAGAGAGGATAGGAGATAAGAGTATAGAGAAGAGAGATGGAGAGATGGATTAGAGCGAGAGAGAGTATACGAGATATATGAGAGAGAGAGAGGAGAGATATGACTTGAGACACTAAACTGTAAAATAATTCTAGAAGGTTTTGATTTGATTCCTTTCATAATTCTTCTAGTTATAAGAATATAAATTGATACAAGAGTATTGATACAAGAGTATATGTAATAGGGTAGGTCATATTAATCATGATAAATAGGGGTAACCTAGAACAATATAATCATGATAAAGGGAACTTTGACACAAGCTAATAATTAGGATAAGATCCTGAAACACTCCCCTCTGGGAGAATAAAATTTGTAATGTACCAAGATTTGGACAAATTAAACTCAATCCAGGCCCCAATGGACTCAATACATCTGCGAGTTTGATTGTTTGACCCAAAAACTTAGGAATATTTGGACTAAAAAACTGCTAAGAAATATTTAAAATGACAATCAAGTTTATATTGTTTTAGTCACCTCTTGTTGTAACATGTTTGATTGCAATTGTGGAGAGCAACTTGATTGTTGCCAAACATCTTCATAGTATGGATGGTCAGAGAATTTAAAGCTCTTGAAGGAATTGTCACCAATATAAGTTCTAACATGTAGTGGACGCCATGCCCTATGACTCGACTTCAGCGGTGACGAGCAGCTACTACATTTTGTTTTCTTACTTTTCCATGAAATAATTGTTTCATACCAAAAAAACACAATATCCTATAGTTCGACCGTCATCATAGGAGACCTGCCCAATCTGCATCACAAGACTCAGAGACGTGAAAATGCTGTCCTTTATCTTCATATAACAATCCTTGCCTGGGAGCCTTTTTGACATACCTTAGAATGTGAATGAGAGCATTCCAATGGTCAACACTTGGAGCCTGCATGAACTGACTAACCACTCCAAATGCAAAGGATAGATCTGGCCTTGTAATAGTAAGATAAATCAGTTTTCCAACCAGCCTCCTATACCTCTCTGGATTGGAGAATAATTCACCTTCTTCTGTCTTTAATTTCTGGTTTGGGTCCATGAGACTGTCTACCGGTCTGCAATCATCATGCCTTGTTTTCTTGTAATATATCAAGAGCATACTTCCTTTGGGAAAAATTACAAACTCATCTTTTGATTGCGCTAATTCAATGGCTAAGAAATATTTAAGACTTCCAAGATCCTTGGTTTGAAAATGTATGTACAAGTACTCTTTCAGTTGAGATATTCCAACATCATCCCCTGTAATGACAATATCATCAACATATACTATTAAGTAAACACATTTCCTAAGAGAAAGAATGAGAGTAAAAAACCAAATGATCTGCTTCACTGCTTTTTTAGCCCAAATTTTTGAACAATGGAGCTAAAGGTTCCAAAACCAAGCACGTGGTGATGCTTGAGGCCATATAAAAGATCGATGTAGTTTGCATCACCATGTAGGAAGGCATTCTTGATATACAATTGATGAACTGGCCAATACGAATGGCTGCCATGAAACAGGAGAGAAAGTCATAATTAATCAAGACCATAAAACCTGAGTGTAACCTTTGCAACAAGTCGGGCTTTGAGCCGATCAATTTCACCGTCAGGGTTGACTTTAACTGCATACACCCATCGGCAACCAACCGCCTTTTTGCCCGGGCGAAGGGGTTCCAGCTCCCAAGTATTACTGTAGTCATGAGCCTACATTTCTGCAATCATAGCTTGTCGCCATCCAAGATGATCAAGTGCTTCTTTCACATTCTTGGGTATAACAACAGAAGACACTGAGAATAAAAGAGGAAAATAAGAGGGTGACAATCGATGATAGCTAAGAAAATTATAAATGGAATGAGGGTTTCGAGTGGAACGAGTACCTTTTCTGAGAGCAATAGGCCATGCTGAATCATTTGCACTAGGAGGTGTGGAGGAGGTGGTGACGAGGGAAGAAGAATCTGAAGTAGGAGATTCACCATTGTCTTGGGGAGGTGGACTATCATTGGGGCCCTGTGTGGCATGATCTCAGTATGTGGAGAAACGGGTTCAGGAGGATTGTGATCAAGACTTGGAATGATAGAGACAGTGGAACTATTTGACTTAGCCACTGGAATAGAAAGGACCTGTTGGAGGATAGAAACATCCTGAACAGATGGAGAGAAGTAAAGAGTTTGTTCAAAGAATGTGACATTGACAAACATGTAATACTTCTTAGTTTCAGGAGAGTAACACCGATATCCTTTTTGAAGTCGAGAATAGCCTAAGAAGACACATTTGAGAGTGCGAGCAGAGAGTTTGTCTAGACCTGGAGACATGTCGTGAACAAAACATACACAGCCAAACACTTGGGGAGATGTATGAAAGAGAGGATAATTAAGAAACAGAATGGAGAAAGGGACTTTATTATCAAGAGAGGAGGAGGGCATTCTATTAATAAGATAACATGCAGTTAAGATGACATCCCCCAATGATGGACAGGAATATGGGCACCAAGCAAAAGGGTACGAGCAGTTTTCAACAAGTGGCTATTTTTTT